AAAGCCACCACCTCAGTTGAGTCCGCCTCCTCCTCCTACATTAGCTCCTGAGACTACAGCTACTTCAGAGACAAAGGTGACAACTCTAGTGTCAGAGGGTCAGCACACCACTACAACTCCTGAGGCTACCTCAGTTGAGACTTAGACGATAGACACAGCTCTAGAGTCCTCACAGCCTTGCACTTAGACATCGACAGCCAGTCAGGTAGAGGCTGATAGTTCTTCAGAGTCATACGAGGAGGCTTTGGTCCCTCATTCTAAGGTTGCTCCACACACGACAACGCTCGACTCATCTGCCTCTACCCAACCTATATGGACCCTTAAGGTTTTGGTGCTCGATGCCAAACGAGAGGGAGTTGCGAGTATGTGACTTAGGGGGAGCGTTTGTGAGAGGACTTGGTTCTTTTGTGTGCTACTATTTCATGCATCATGTGTATGTTTTCATGCATTGTGAGATACTATGTGTGTTGCATGTTTGTGGTGATACTATGTAACATGTGTGTGCTCTCTACTACATATCATATGCCATGTCACCATTGCTTGCTCGCTTGTTATGCTTTCACCATATTCTTTGTGAAACGAGCTTACTTTGTTGTACACGTGCTTAATTGTTATTTATTGTGTTCATGTTGTGGACTTGGTTCACATAAGCATGCCTAACCCATTTGTTCTTATTGTCTCATGCTTATGCAAACCAAATATTTGAAAACCTCATTTCTCTCTTGTATGAACATACTTGAGGTTGTGTTGTCATAATTCACCAGAAGGGGAGATTGAAAGCATCTAGGCTCCTAATTCAGTTTTTTCTATTAATGACAACACAATTATTATGACTAACGTGTGTTTCATAGAGACATTATAAGATAGGCCACAATAATGATTGATGAATGGGTAATCAATGGTTTTCATGCCCCTATTTAATGGAATTCGTTTTGTTTTTCAAAAAAATATGCGATAAGGTTGAGGCTGGACTAGTTCTAAGTGTCGTTTGGGGTTGAGAGACATCTACAATAGTTTAGGACTTTGTTTTTCCTTTGGCCATACTAGACTGGGGGATATCAACTAGTAGCTTGACCTATCTGGGTCTAGTGAGTTAGGTTTAGTGCACACTTTTGTTCATTATTTGGGATATTCGTCCTTCTCATTTTATCTTCATTTAGTTTTAAAATGAGTATTTTAGATCCTAAATAAGTTCAAATAAAAAAGTTATCACCTACAAAGTTTTATAACTTTTCGAGAACTACACCTTTGGTTGTTGTCATTTCTCCATCCAAGGTTATTTGAAAATTTTGAATTTCAAATGTAAGAAATTTAAACGTAACTTTCTTTGCATAGATGATTTCAAATAAAAAAGTTATTAACTACAAAGTTGCATAACTTTTAAAATCTAAAACTTTTGTTTTGGTCATTTCTCTATATAAGAATCATTTGAAAAATTTAAATTTTACTGCATAGCTCCTATTTTTAGATATGGCTTAATTTATAGCTGTCTCTACAAATCGATTTCTAGAGATGTCTTGAAATGGAGCCACCGCCAGAAATTGATTTCTAGAGATGACAGGAAATGGAACTGCCTCTAAAAATAGGGGTTTGTAGAGACGAAGCCGCCGGCTCTACAAATGTATTTCTAGAGGCGGCTCGGTTTGGAAGGGCCACTGTAGAGGTGGCTGGAAATTTATCTGCCTCTACAAAAAAAAAAAAAACTCCCGTTGCTACAAATTGTTCTCGTAGTAGTGTGGACCAGTGTTCATGTTCATGTGTACATGATGGAACCCCTGATTTTTACTGGCATTTTCACTTGAAACCATTTGAAACACGAGCATATATACACTTAAAAACGCCTTAAAGTTTTCCATGTACCGACTAATTAATATATAGACCTTGACCAATTCCACCATTAGACAGTTACTAGAACCTGTAATCAGCCTGTGTGACTACAAACAACTTACTGGTTCACATCAATTGCGTCAATTACAGGGCATGTTCACCTTTGGTTTCATATCTTTTTTCCCTTTTCGAGAGCGACATGCCAAAAAACCTGCCCGTCTGTGGTGGGTTGGTTGAGCATCACCATCTCGTCTCTTTTTCTTATGCTCTTTCCTTATTAAAACTTGACCACACGTAAAACAAATACTAGTACCATTCAAAATAATCATGATAAGGTTGTTTAAAACTCGATGTGGACTAGGAAGTTCGAATTCTCATAGCTAGTTACTCGTGAGTCATCTCTAGCCACTGTGTGGTGTGGCTACTTTTCTTTTCTTTACATGCCTTTGATTGGAAAGTGCACTCAAAGCTTGTTCAAAGTTCTTTTTAAAGTCTTTTTCGGTGCATCACTTTGAAAAGGTGGCATGCAGGAGGCTGCACAGATGTCGAATTCTTATAGGATTTGATATCCAGGTGTCAAAAGTGATTATTTCACTTGTTTTATAGCATATATATATATATATATATATATATATATATATATATATATATTATATATATATATATATATATATATATATATATATATATATATATATATATATATATAGCTAGCTGAAAGTTACTCATGATAGACGTTACATGAGCAATTAAACTTGGCGGTTTCTCTAAGTTTCTGTATTTAAGATTTTGCTTTGCGCCTCAGCAAACATAGGTTGAACAATATTTTTCACATAATCTTTTTGAAAAGATTTTTTTTATACATGTTGAATTTTAAACGTATTGTTAGTTCATAACGCTTTCAGGTTATATTTTGAAAGTTAATCTGTTCTCAATCACATATTTCTAAGATATGGGCGCAATTCGAAATGTACTTTATGAGCATACATTTGTCTGGGTCGTGGGTGCAATATGAATGCACTCGCACCACTGAATATCCCAAAAGGCTATCTGAGTGGAACTCGGTTGTAAGCACGAAAACCTTCTGCCCAACTTTTTTATAAGCACAATGCTTACTACTACTACTAAGGCATTGGGTGTTCAGCACTTCAGCAGTAGTGTTCAGCACTTAAGCACAATGCTACCATTAATCACTTCACTTTTCAGAACCTTGGTTGACCAGTACGTTGACAATTGGACATACGCGTGTGAACTTTGGGGGGAGGAGATTAGGTAAAATAATATAATGCCATGTTTAATTGGTTGACAATTGTGCAAGTGGAGATGGCACCACCCAAATATCAACCGCCAAAAAGGCAGTGTGAATGGTGGTAATGATTGTTTGTGCTTTGAAATACTGCAAAGATGGTTTCCTAGTTAACAGATAGGGACGAAGTTCATCGACCATTTTACATGCATCGTCTGTTTACGACACATATGCATGTTTCTTTTCAGTTTATGACCCCATATGCATGTTTTTCCTTATTAATAAACTAGCAAGCATGCCCATATTGTTGCGTGGTGCTCGTGCCAATAATAATTATTTTTATTGAATTTAATTAGACTTAGCTCAACCTTAAATTAAATAAATTTAAGGTCCATAATAAATGCTGGCATCAAAGGACTAATCTCATATGAAAAATTGATTCGACATAAATAAGTTATTATTATATGCACCTATTGTGAGCTTAAGTAAGGAGAAAGACGAGCCACAGGGCAGCACATATGCCACGACACCAATGCGCTAACTGGTGTGGCGATAATAAAATTTTGCAGCTCCAAACTCAAAACAAGAAGAGTAAGAGTGAGAGACAACTAACCAAGGGACGGAACATGAGAGAGACGTACGGATAGGGAAGAGGGATTTCCTTCATTAGTATTATTAGGTATAGATTATCAGAAAGAAACTTCATCGATGATTTCTTTCTATGGTGGTGTACAGTCAAATTTTCAGTTTGTATAGTATTCCCTCCGTCTCTTTTTAATTATCGTTCTCATTTCTTGAGAAGTCAAACATATTCAACTTTGACCAAATATATATAATGCAATAATAATATTTATGATGCATAATTAGTATTATTAGATAGATCCTTGAATCTATTTTCGAAAATTTATTTGGAAATACAAATATTGTTAATATTTTTTAGAAATTTAGTTAAAATTAAGAAAGTTTGACTAGCACGAATACTATAGCAACACTTAAAAAGAGATAGAGGGAGTACGTGAATATCAGTGCCCTAATACTGGTTTAATTAGTAAACATTTTTATTTTTCATAGGTCCGTATCTCCCTCTCATAAATCTATGTGCTAGATCTGTATTTCTCCATTTCTTTTGCCTGTCATTTTCCTTATTGATTGGACTTCTTTTTGTAGGAGTGAGCTGGCAGTAGTATGCAAATTGCAAAGGAGAGCTAAAATATTCAGCTTTGGCTTTTGAGGTCAGTGGGGGCAATTGCACAAGCAGTTGCATGTCACTTTCCCTCCTTTTGGGTTTTGGCCATGCCCGGCTCCACTTTTTGTACCATTTTCATGGTCGAATTATCCCAATCAAAAGGGCAAAAAAGGAACGAGGAAAAATGGACCGATACAGAGAACGCAACAAAGAAATCAGATACTGTTAGCCATATTCGTTGTTGCCTATCCTGATGCAAGAATAAAGTAGACAAATATAAGGTATACTAGTAGAATATATTCTGAATCTAGTGGACTGGTATATGCAAATGAACCAAAAGAGAATACTTTGTTATAGAAAGGACTTGACAACAAGTTGCTGAAGAGTGCAATACCTGAAGTAATATATTCCCCTTCTTAATGTTATTATTTATCTACAACCAGAGACCTCTTATTGATCTCCTGCAAATCTTTCTCAAACCCAAATAGCTAATTCTATGTACATCCTGCGTGCCGCCTATATTACAAGTCCACAAGTAGCTATGTTACACATACGCATACACTAGCTCTGTTTCCCAGCCAACATATATATACCTATATATAGATATATATTACAATCCTCTGATGATTTACCAAAAAAAATTCAGTACTGTCAGGCTAAGCTCATGTTCAGATGGGAAGGCTGCATGAGAAAATTCCTGCTGCTGCTAGCTGATGGATCGATGTCCTTCAACTTGAAGAATCAAGAGCCCTCCTGGAATGCCACCGAGCGCGTGAGCGCGACGGGATTCGCGTGCAGGAGCGGCGACCTTGTCATCATGGCCTGCTTCTTGGTGGCCTCGAGCTTGGGCTCGAACACCGTCCCAAGCTGCTTGTGCCCACCAGCGGCATCTGCGTCCTGCTGCTTCTTGTCGGTTCTGATCCCGATGAGGGACCAGATCGAGCTCCTGGCCACCTCGTCCACGTCGTCTATCCGGATGGTCTTGGGAGCCCACACCTTGGCGTTGCCGCCATGGGCATTGCCGTTTCTTCCATCGTCACCGTCCCGGTCCCGGGGGTGCTTGCCCAGCCCCAGCGTGTGGGAGTCAGCTGCCCCGGATGATGAGACCGAAGGAGCACTGGCGGTGGTGGGCGACGACGACGAGAGGCCCGCCGGTCCCTGCGACTGCGACGGGGGCTGTTGCACCGGCCATGGCAGGCTCCAAGCTCCCGGAACCATGCAGCCCCAGTAACCCGGCGCGGCCGGGTATATCGGGATCGCGATGCCCGAGGAGAAATACGCCGCCGGAGATGGGGCGCAGCTATACGGCGGCCACACGCCGTTCATGTTTGCTGGGTGCTGGTGCTGCACTGATCCGTCGTCTGCGTTTAGTACTGCAGCTTCGTCTACAGAAGACCTGTCGTTGATGGTCTTGTTGTCGTCCTTGTTGGTCGATCCTTCGCTGCAAGGACCCGGGTTGCCGGCGTTCCTGATGACCGGGGCCAGGTGGCTGAGCTGCTCGGCGAGGTCCAAGCATGCAGGACCAGGAGGCGCGCCGCCATGGCCGAAGCTGAGCACCGTGCCGTTGGTCGTCTTGAGCGTGTCGCCGCCGCCGCAGGCCCGGACCCTGTGGAGGAAGTGCGAGGCGGCGGCGACGGCGTTCTTGTTCTTGCGGCGTCCGGCCCCCACGGGCACGTTGCGCATGGCGCCGCCGGCGGTCCAGTACCGCTGGCAGTTCTTGCAGAAGTGGCGCGGCTGGTTGACGTTGTAGTTGTTGAAGTAGCAGAACTTGGTGTCCATGCTGTTGCAGCGCGGGCACGGCAGCACCTTGTCGGGCTTCTTCAGCTTCTCGCTCTGGCTGGCAGCATCGCCGCTGCACTTGCCGGGCTTCTGATGCGTCTCCGGTGAGCTCTTGGGGTCCTCGGCGTCGACGACCTCCGGCTGCGGGGACGGTTCGGAGGAGTCCGGGTGCGCGTGCGCGTGCCCGTTCTCCAGGTCCAGGGCATGGGCATCCTGATCCTGTTCAGTCGAGCTGCTGCTGCTGCTGCTCTGCTGAAGATCCTAGTAGAATCATAAAATTTTATTTGATCAGCTCCTATACATAGTTGATGCATGGAAAACAGTTGTAAAATTCGAATTTCATCATATGCCTTATTAATTAGTTACAAGGCTGGTTCTTGTGCTTTCCCACTTGAATTAGACATCTGATTTCCATGGGTGGAAATTTGGGGGGCAATTTCTTATATTTTACACTGTAATATTAGCACAAATTTTTTTGAAGAAAAAGTATCAGCACGCACTACATTAAATAAATTACTAGCAGTAGTAATAGTAGTGCTTAATTTTGTATCCCCCGCCGTATTTCGGACAAGAGCGAGGGAAAGCAAGTTGCTGTTTTCTTAGAAATGGTGCGATGCCCAAGCAAGGAGGCAGTCAGTGGAGACTACTAGAAACAGCTTTAGGCCTCCACGTTTACACCACGCCTGAGAATAATATGTGACCTTCCAAGCTAGAGAAAGAATTCACTAGTAGTATAAGCAAAAGACGGATTTCCTTCATCTGTTGGACCGCTCACTGCAATAACGTCAATGCTCCTACGTAAATGCCCTGTTTCGGAGAAGAAGAGCATCGTCTTTCTTTTCGCAAGCAAAAATGGCACTCAAATCAAATTAATCAGTAATCACCCCCAAGCCGAGCGAGTCCAGTGAATAGCCCGAGGAATTAATCAATCAATCATCCCCTCACTGTTGAACAGATCAACAACTCACCGCTGGCTCATGTCCATGACCATGTCCTAGCTAGCAAACCAACCCCAATAACCAAGAAACAGAGACTCCACTGGAAATGAACTGAGGACAGCAGGTAATAACAAAGCAAGCAAGATGATATATATCTCCAACCTTGGCGTCGCCGGACTCCGGCACGGGGATGGTCTTCCCGAAGAGCTTGATGAGGAAGTCCCCTCCTCCTCCTTGGCACTCCGCAATCATCTTCTTCGCACTCGATCCAAACAAACACAAGCTCCCGGCTTGCTGCTTTCTTCTCTCCTCTTCTCTTCTCTTGCTGCTGCTGCTGCTGCTGCAAGCGAAAGACGAACGAAGCAGCTAGCTAGGTGACAGACGGACGAGGTCGAGGTCCCGCAGGTAGGTTCACTTTGCAGCCGGAACCGGAAGAGACGACGAGGCCGGCAAAGAAACCAACGAATGGAATTTGGTCTGGTGTGCTGCTGCTGCTGGCCATGGGCAGGGGAAGGCGAGCGGGTATAAGAGGGGAAGAAGTTGGGTGGGGGCCACGGCGAGGGCTGCACAGCCACAAACTCGGCTTGTGGCCTCCGGGGTGCGTCTTTTGATTCTCCTCCTCGCTCGCCCTTCGCCTTTTCGTCCCACGCGTCGCCGTCGTCGGGCAGCTGGCGCCCTCCGCCTGGCTGTGCTCCTTTGCCCTTTTTGTACGCCGCTTTCTTTCTGTTTTCTTTTTCTTTTTTTTTTGAATGTAGCGCCTCAGGCTTACGCTGATTTTTCTTTTCTTTTTTTCGTTAATACTTTCTCCGTCCTAAAATAAATATTGTTTTATGTTTGTCCTAAGTCAAACTATTTTAAGGTTTGACCAAATTTATAGAAAAGAACATCAATATTTGTGACACTAAATAGATAGAATATGAAAATATTTTTCATGATAAATCTAATAAGACTTATTTGATATTATAAACATTAGTACTTATTTTTATAAATTTGGTCAAACTTTAAAAGGTTTTACTAAAGACAAACCTAAAACATCACTTATTGTGGGACCAAGAGAGCAATAAATTAAAAGAAGTAGGATATCTCTACCTGGCGGCAATAAGTGAAACTCCTCCAAAACAACCCCTAAACCCTAACCCGCCAAAGGCGAGAGAAAAGATCTACCGACTTTGCTGTCGTACCAGCCAAGCAGTGTGCACAGTCAAACTATCGACACCATACTCACCGACCGTGACGCATTTCTGGCCGAGGTACGCACACAACTTCTCCAAGCGCAGGAGTACGCCCAACGCCACTACGACGCTCATCACAGTGATCTGGAGTTTGCCACGGGCAACTAGGTGTGGCTCCGGTTGCTCCATCACCCTTCCCAATCTCTCGTCCTCGGCAATCGCGGCAAGCTAGGACTGCAGTACGCTGGGCCGTTCCAAGTCCTGCAATGTGTGGGCGTGGTGGCCTACTGTCTCCAACTGCTAGACGGTGCCCGCATCCATGATGTGTTCCATGTGGGCGTGCTCAAGCTGTTTCGCGGGACTCCACCGACAACCATCCCGCCGCTCCCTCCACTACAAAACGGCCGCCTAATGCCATAGCCAGAGCGTGTTCTCCATTCTAGTCTCCGCTGCGGCGTCTGGCACGTGCTAGTTCACTGGGCGGGCCGCGGGCATGCCTGAGGCTGAGGCCACGTGGGAGCCAGTTGATGTGTTCTGTGTAGCGCATCCCTCCTTCCAGCTCGAGGATGAGCTATTCCTCGAGGGGGGAAACGTCTACCAGAGGAGGAAGAGAAGACATGGCTAGGATTGCGCACTAATCGGCAAGGGCAGTGCACGGTGTGGAATGCATGGACCGTGCGGTCACCATGGAACTTCAGTGACTCGGACGCTTCATGATGGGATTAGTGTAACAAACCGGGTTTTTGGAGAAGCCAAAAATATGAACTTTTTAAATTTTTTCCTGCAATGTGTGAAGCATGTAGATGCTAGGTCAAACAAAGAACAATTTATAAATAAATTGTTGCATACATATAGTGTTGCTTGTAGGAGCTTGCCGGAGTTCCTTATTTGGTTTAGGGTTTTATGTTGGAGAGCACAAGTCCGTAGCAAATCCTTTTGACTCCTTCTGGAATCTCTCATGAATCCTTTGACCTAATTTCTATAATCAACCAACTATCTTCATCAACTCAATGCCCGTGAGTTGCCAACCCTTGACATGGACCCCACTACCCCTAGTTGACCTTTAGTGGACCCCACTAGGAGGTGTACATGTTGGTGACACATGTATACAATACACGAGCCTTGGTTTATTTAGAAAATAGGAAATATAAATAGAAGAGGAAGGAAATGGTAGGGGGAAAAGAAATGGCCAAAACAGCCCAAGGCGCCAAGAGCCAGCTCCGCCCAACCTCTCCCACTCGGCCATGGCCCCTTGTGAAATTGGCTCGCCCTTCTCTCCTCCTCGCCCACTCGCCACTCCTCCCTTCCGCCCCGCTTCACAAGCCGTGGGCTGCTGCTTGGCCCAACAGGCGCAGCAGCCCGGCCTGCCCCTCTCTCCTCCCTTCGGCCCTCCCCGTCAGCGCCTTGGCCCAACCAGGCCGCTGCCACAGCACGGCCCAGCCTGGCCAGCAGCCGATGCCCCCACTCCAACCCTAGGGCGCGCCACTCACCCGCTCCCACGTCGCCGCCGCTCACCCACCGCGAGCTTGCGTGCGCGCAACGCCAAGCCTCGTGCCCTCGGCTCACTCCGCACCCCCGCTCGATGCGCGCTGCGTGCCCCTTCTCTACACGGAAGCCGAGGATCACCATCCACAGTGCCTGGAGCCCTAGCCGCTCGCCCTATAAAACGTCACAACTGGCCGCCCCTCTTCTTCTTCCTCCAAGCTACCGCCGCATGCCACGGTCCCGCCACTACCGGCTGCACGCTCGCCACGGCCGCTACCTCAAGCCCGTGTTCCCAGCCACAGATGCTGATCCCCTTTGCACCACCTCTACCTCACCGTCTCTGTGCCTCCACCAGCTCGCCGTGCCTTGTCCTCGTCGGGCGCCAGGCCACCAAGCTGGAACTCCGTCGACTACCACGAAAGCGACCTCTAGACGACGGCTCCTGCGCTGCTCTGTTTCTTCCCCATAGCACGACGTCGCGACGTAGGAGCCCTGCCTCGCCGTCAGGGTGGACCTCATCAGCGACGCACAGATGCCCCTACTTCAACCCGACCACACCGTCGGTGTCTCGCCGCGCCGCACCGTAGCCAGCCACGATGTTTGGAGCCCCCGCGCGCGTCGCGTGCGCCGAGGACAGCAACGTCGAGCTGGAGCTGTACCGCGCCAAGGGACGTGCCCCAGGGGCGATGAACATCGCGTCGTCCTTGCCACGACGCGTCCGCGAGGACCACCAATGGAGCCACGACCGCATCGAGCTTCGCCCCGTCCCCAAGCACCGTGTTCACGATGAACCGCTGAAGCCGCGTCCACGCCCAACGTCATCTTCACCGATTCGAGCGGCAACCACGACGCCTCGCCTCAGCGTCCATGCTTCATCGCCCTCTACGCCTCGTCCACATCCTCACCAAACACCGCGCTATGTCCACGCTCGAGGTAGCCCACTGTTTTCACCACCTCACTGAGCACCTCTTCATCCCCATCGGGAGGCACACCCCTGCGCGTGCTCCAAGCTTCCGGATAGCAGCAGCAGTCCTTCCTCGTTATGCACCACCGACCACTTCGCTGATGGACCACAACATCTTCCCGGTGTCGACCATCATCATCTTCTGTGACCGGCCTTCGAGCCGTGTAACTCTATGTGTAGGGAAGAAGCCGGCCCCTTGCGGCGTCTTTCGCGAACCATGGCCAAGCTCCGTCCAACAGCCGCCACCTCTTCGGCAATCTATATCCTTCCCACTTTTGTGAACGTGTGTCTATCTTTCATTCGCACATGACCATCATCTATGTATCATCTATCTATCCGTGATTAGTAAATGCCTGTGCCGACCATCGCCGCCGGTCTACTCCTCTGTTTCTATTTCCCTTCATGACGATCTATCTATTACGCGTGTCTATCTCTTGTACCTCAAATTCTTTTCCCAAGTGCTTCGATTAGGTGCTACATCTTCATCGCCCGATCACCTGGATGAGCCGAAACCATTGGACGACCATAGGTGCGACCAACTACAAGCTCCGCCAAGATCACGATGCTGAGCAACGCGGGTCATGTTCTTCCACTTCGACAAACCTCGGTGAGCCACCACTGTGCCCCTCTTTCCAACCCCGATTTTGCTTACCGGCCATGGCGTTCCAACCATGGAACGCGTAGACCGAGGCCACCTCCGGCCTTTGGACACACAAGCACACACACACTTGACTAACCCAAGCCAAATCGAACCACCGGAGTTCCAAGAACGCCGGTGTGGTTGCCGACCACCATTAAAACATTCTCTAAAGCCATGTCTCATCCACCGTGAACCACGCCTGAATGAGTCAAGCCATGATCATCGTCTTTGACGTTGCGACGGAGCTCTACCACTCCTAGACACGCCCGCACTCACTAGCACGAGACCGGACTTAGCCAAACGGATCCACGGCGTAGGAGACGCCAGAAAGGACTTGTCGCCTGTAAAACCCATCGTGGCCAAGCCATGCTGCGCGCGAAGAGTTACCATGACCTCATCGTGAGCCTCGAAGCCGTAATTGGACAACGTGGTATTGATCGCCGCATCATGGACTGCAGGATTCCCTTTTTGGTTGCCCTGAGAGTTCTGTGGAACCCTGTGCTCGTGTTTCACCACTGTTTCGGCTACCTCGAGTTACGAGAACACGCCGTCGAGATCTACCGGGACCCACACTAAAGGCCTTTTGAAGTAGTCACATTGCACAACTCACGGACAAAGCCCTGGCATACACCACATGACCTAGCACCATGCCATCATTGTATTGAGTCTGTTCCTGACATTCCGGCTGCCTCGTTAAACAAGGGCGAGCCGTTGAGAAACCGTGTGATCCCTAGCATCATACCGATGACAAGTGGAGTCTTTCCGACATTCCGGTTGCCTTGCCTTGCAAGTGTGTGCCGTTGAGGAGATATCATAACCCCATCTACTGCGAGCCATAACCTCTGGACCATGAACCCTAGTCGTATGTCTTATCGAGACCATGGAAAGCCCCATCTCGCATCTTTCTGTATACGCATATCTACCTTGTTGGGCCCTATTCTTACGACCTATCTATCCATGACTGTCTTAACAGGATCTATCCATCACCTAG